ATGCAGCGGGACATGGGAAAAATTGTTAAAAATTGAGACTCTCCCGCCAAAAGCGGGACGTCTGGTCACCTTAGATATGATGTTACTTCTGAACGATACTGTTTTTCCCATATGACTGTTAAAACAGAGTATGACACAGAAAATCAAAAGAACAAAGGTTATCAAATTTGAGGGGTACCCAAAATGACTACAATTTTTTTTCAAAGCTATGTATTCAATTTTTTTTGCAAAACAACTTTATCACCTTCAAAGTACTCTCCATTCTTGGAAACATTTTTCAACCTCATCTGTTTGGATGGTTGACAGCACTTCCCTCATTTTTTTCTTCACCTCTTGTAAGTTGTCAAATTGCTGTCCTTCCACATCTCTCTTCAGTTGCAGAAACAAAAAGGAGTCACAGGGAGCGAGGTCAGGTGAGTCAGGGGCCTGGGACAAGAGAGGCGTGCTGCTTTTTGCCAAAAGCTGGCACTCTGAGATGGCTGCCTGAGCCGGTGCATTGACGGGGTGGCAAACCACAAACCAGGCCTCTCCCCTACCCCCACGCTGTTAGACCCCATCTTTTCAGAACCTCTAAACAGAAAGCTTGATTAACAGTCTGACCTGGTGGAATGAACTCCAAGTGCACTGTCCCCCTCCCTCTCCCATCAAACAAAGCAAAACAAATGAGCATCACTTTATGGGGAGTAACCCCTCGCAGATTGCTTCCAGGACTACTATACCTATGGCCTTTGCTGAGCCTCACCTGGTTGTATTCTCCAAGTGTTGTGGACAGGAACACGGACAAGTGTAGGAACGGGTCTTTACGAGAGCCTTCACACGTGAAAGCAACCTGACACCAACGTGGAAGCTCATTCCCGTGCTTACGGAGACAGCAGTAGGGAAGCTCGGGTCGCTGGCTTTTCCCCAGAGACAACCTCAACAGTACTCCCTTTCCACAGGACTTCCACAGCACATCTGCTGGGGAAGGCAAGGCAAAGGAAGGCGGCTGCCCAGCATTCGGCACCCAGCAACACAAAGAGAGAGAGGAGCTGAGAGGTGCACTCCGCGTCACCTGTCAGTGGTGAAGGTGGTCACCACGGTCCCTTTCAGAGAACCTTTTCATCTGTCAGTCTGTCCACCCAAGCACCTGTGTGCCAGGGCCCATGCCAGACAGTGGCGCCGCCTTGGTGGAAACACCTCTCATGCGGTGACACTGTCATTCAGGCACGCAGCATCACCTCCTGACAAAGGGACCGCAGGGGACAACGGCGAAGCTCTTGGTTGCTAAAGAGCATGGAAGATTCAAGCCATGCAGAGGCTCAGCTCCTGCAGACTGCTGCCCAAGGAAGCTGAGGGGCAGCGCTACTCCGTCACATGGGGTGGAGGTAAGAGTGCCCAGACAGTGCCTCTCCCCCACAGCCTCCCCTAATATAAGGGGCTGCACAGAGTCCTGGGAAAGTCCCATTCTCTTTTAATGCCACCTTCGCCAATGAACTTTGGAAGCTCTCTCAGACAGGTTTCCAGATCATTTAAAATCTGAAAACCTCCAAAGTTTAAGGTTACCCGATGAATTTCATGATACTGTATAAAAGCTGACTTATTTTACGCTCCAGGACATGTAGGAAGGAGGCTCTGAAGGCACTGTAGCTTAGGTGTTGGGCTACTAGCCACAAGGTGAGCAGTTCAAACCCATCAGCAGTACCATCTAAAAGAGGTCTCATTAACACCAGTAAAGTCGCGCTAAGTAAGAACAGACTAGATGGCTTGGGCACACGCAACGTGGGCTCACTTGGAAAATTCTGGCGCCAAACAGGCCTTCACTGAACACAATGGCGGCTGGAGTCCTCAGGAAACCTCACCTCCTGAAGGAGAAATCCAAACTCGCTGCCATCAAGTCAATGCTGACTCATAATGACACCCCCCCCCATGAGTTCCTAAGACTAACTGTTTAGGGGAGTAGAAAGCCCAGCCCTTCTCTTGAGGTGGGTTTGAACCGCTGACCATGTGGATCACAGCCCAACAGCAGCCACTGTGCCACCAGGGCTCTTCCCACCTCTTGAAGGCCTGCTGTTTCAAACCGTTCACTTGACTGTGCTGAATACCGAGAGGTCCAACGGTTCCCGGGGGTTAGACTGACTGGCTGGCAGTGAGTTTGAGGGGGTGAAGGGCCTGTTTGAATGGGCACTGTCAACTCTTCTTTGCAGCAGGAAAGGCAAACTGCGATTGCGCAGCACAATGGCATTCTTCACCCTGCGCCCCAACTCATACACTGGGAAGGCAGGCAGGAGCCACGGTATTAACAGACATTTTTGGTATCAACAGTGAAGAGCTGGTGAGGACCTACTTATGGGTAAACAGGTCCCAATAAAGCCTAGGTAAGAATGTATCATTAAGAACACTGATTCTCAACCTTCCTCGTGCTGCAAACCTTTCATACAATTTCCTCATGTTGTGGTGACCCCCAATCATAAAATTATTTTCATTGCTACTTCATAACTGTATGAATCGTAATGCAACTATCTGATATGGAGGATGTATTAGGTGTGAAAGGGTCATTTGAACCCCAAAGGGGTCACGACCCACAGGTTGAGAACCTCCGATGAAGAGGGTTTGGACAAAGCTCTTCATGCAGTGAGAGAGGCAGTGAGGCATCGACTACTCCAGGTTGGTTGGGGTGGGGGGTTGCCCGGGACAAACTGCTTACCAAGTCCAAGCTTGTCACGGGCAACCCCCCACCCCTACCAACCTGGGTGCCATTATGGTGGGTACCACTGGTTACGGAGGAGAGCAGGTAGGCTGCTGGGGAATGGGGCTCTGACGTCAGGCACCCCTTGGTGCGGCCTATGGAATATGGGTCCACACAAGCCAGGGAGGATGAGAAGGGAGAAAAGGGGCAGGCCAGGCCCCGAAATACCCAGCTCCCAAGTTGTGCTTCCCAGAGGGAGGGAGCCCAGGAACATGGAAGTTTGGCAGCAGAGAAGGGAAAGAGAGAATGAGCCCAAGGATGAAGTGGAGGCTGGGCACCAAGTGGCTGGCCTGCTAATTACTTGAGGAAGTCTTTTGTTAGGGGTGAAGTGAAGGGAGGCTGGAAGCCAGGGCTCTGGTCTGCAGGAGAGAGCACGCGTGAGCAGAGGCTGCAAATTACAGGCCTGTGCGTCTCATGTCTATATTAGGAAGTGACTTTGCGATGATACTTATGGATGAGCTTAATGATAGAGCCGGAGAAGTACAATTTAATAGGTGTGAGTCAGCACGGGTTTAGCAGCGGCAGTCATGTCAGGGAGAAAGAAGCCACCCTTTCTCAGGCTGCCCAAACACTCCGGTCCTGTGAGGGAGGACCACGGAGATGCTGTCGGGTTTTTGGAGTGTGGGGCCTTCTCATACAATGAATGATTGCACAAAATGCCCTGTGTGTGTCAGACCTCCAACTCACAGGAGGGGGGGCAGAGGCGGGGTTAAAAAGGGAGGGCCAGGGTCCATTCAGGACTCTGGGGAAAGAGTAAGCCCCCCAAGCTGACAGAGCAGACCACCAGTGCTCTGAGTCAGAGATTCGGTGCCCGTTTCTGGTGAGGAAATCTGAGCGTGCCAGTGATTGAGGGCCCGCTCAGACACAGATGTGGGGCAGTTTTACCGGCTGTTCCACTGCCTGAGTAACAGCCTCGGCGTGGGGACAGGAACCCTTGGGACACTGACTGGGGTGGGGCCTTAGCTGCCCTCCAGAGATGGGATCAGGTGGGAGTTACACACGTTGTCAGTCTTCACCCAGATGAGACGCAGGCGCTGGGGAATGGAATGTGGCCGGATCCCAGCGTGACAAAGAACTTGAAATCCAGGTCTCAGTTTGTGAGGACAGGAGGGCAGGGCGTGCGCAGTGCAGATGGTTACATCTCAGCATCTAAGAAGGGCTGAAAATCCTATCAACGTCCACGTCGTCTTTTAAAAGTAAAGCAGCAGAAAAATAGAGGCCACGAAGGATGAGACAACATCACTACTTCATTCTTAATTTCTCCTGAAATTACCTGGCGATCATTGTTTGGGGGAAGATGTCGGCATTTTGGACTCCCATAAGAACCGGCATTATTTGAAGATTGTACTAGAGGGCCTCCATCCTGGAACCATTCTTTAGGGTTTTTTCGTGTAAATATCTCCTCAATGGACACTCAAACCAAAGGCTACCATGTAACTGTTCTCCCATCAGCACAGCGACCCAGTGCCCAGTGAGCACTTGCTCCTGTCAAGGCACGGGAAGGTGGGCTACCTGGCAAAGCCAAGTTTGAGTTTTGGGACCAGTCTCTGTCTGACTCGTGCCTGAGCGAGGTGGGAGAAACCCCAGCAACTACAAGCACCTGCTACGCACTCTCTGTACATCCCTCCACCCCTGACATCCACTGCAAATCTCAGAGGAAGTTCAGACGCTTCTCCTGTCCTGTCCAGTCCTGTTTTGATGACATCATGATGGGAATGCTCTTTTTGAGGTCTGAGGTAGCTGGTTTTGAGACACGTGCAGCTGATGAAACAGAAGTACCACAGCCACCTGTGCTAGCTGAGTGAAGACCCCAGATGCCCTCACCTCTATAGTCCCCGGGACCCCAGACGCTCATCCTCTGTAGTACCCGGGACCCCAGACGCTCATCCTCTGTAGTACCCGGGACCCCAGACGCTCATCCTCTGTAGTCCCCGGGACCCCAGACGCTCATCCTCTGTAGTACCCGGGACCCCAGACGCTCATCCTCTGTAGTACCCGGGACCCCAGACACTCACTCATCCTCTGTAGTACCCGGGACCCCAGACGCTCATCCTCTGTAGTACCCAGGACCCCAGACATTTATCCTTTGTAGTACCCGGGACTCCAGGCGCTCACACCCTCCCTAGTGCCTCCTCCACAGTGACACACTGGGCCTTCAAGGAGCTTGGGGCAAAGGGGACACAGAGCTAGTGAAGCCCCCAAGAGAGGGTGCCCACAGGAGGTAAGGACCACGATAAGGCGGAAATTACTGGAACCCGCTGCCTCCAGCCCTTACCAGCGTGCAAGTAGGCCAGGTCTGGGTTCTCGATGTCAGGGTGCTGCTCTTTGAGGTGGTTCCGGAACTCCACGGGGACGTTGGTACCGTAGTCACACTTGGGGCAGTTGTACATCTTGACACCCTCGTGCTTGCCCGTGTGTAAGATGTGCTTGCGGATGTTTTCGGCACAGTTTGACCTGCCAAGTTAAGACGGAGGGGTCAGCTCAGTATCACGGTATCACAGTGAGTGACGTGTGCTGGCACTTCTGAGTGTGACCATGGGCCAGCTACTGCTGGACATGTCCTCCACTCCTCTGATAACCACTGTAGACCTTACACACTGTCCCAAGCATCTGCCATGCCTCGATGAACACCTCATACATCCTGCACACAGTCCAGAGCGTCCTTCCCATCTCTGAGGGCCACCACTGATAGGCTGTGCACACTCTCCCAGGCCTGGAGGCCACCCGATCCTGGGGTTCATCTGTAAGTTGGTTATTTGCCCTAGCACCTCATCTCTGTATAGAACCAGAAATACAAAATCCCAGCTTCTATAGTTTTAATATCACATTATCCTGGTACCACTTGAGGGCACTGAAGGCGTTTCATGAATCTGAGAACACACCTTCCCAGGGAGGAGGAGGAGGACAAAAGGAAGCAGAGCATGCATGGGGAACAAGGAAGCCTCCGCACTGGAGCCCCTCAGAGGCTGCAGCGGCTCTGAATGCAGCACCAACTAAGGGGCCTGAAGGCAACAAGCCCCCCAGCCCTTACCCCCAATCCACCCAATATCCACCTGGGCAATCTGCTGAGTTCATGGCGGGGGTGGGG